AAAAACTTTAAGGAAACATATACGGTATCTTGACATTTCACAAAAATTAATATCTTCCTTTCAGATAAGGTTGAGAACCAGTAAGCTGGAAGGTCAAATGGTTCAAATGCCCATTGAGGCAACTATAAGGACAGAGGGAAACCTTGAACAGGGGTCCTATTTTGCACAAAAGACACTGGGAAGATTTTTTAAAAATACCTCATCAAGGTCCCATCTGCCAAAGATTGTGATTTGCTTAGGCATCTGTGTTTTTAAAAGCTTCAGAAGTGGAGCGCCTGGGTGGTGCAGTTGGTTAAGCATCCGACTTCAGCTCAGGTCATGATCTCACTGCTCATGAGTTCAAGCCCCGTGTTGGGCTCTGTGCTGACAGCCTGGAGCCTGCTTCAGATTTTGTGTCCCCCACTCTCTCTCTGCCCCTCCCGGCTCATATTCTGTCTCTCTTTCAAAAATAAATAAACTTAAAAAAAAAAAAAATAAAAGCTCCATAAGTGATTCTAATATGCAGCCAAGGCTGAGAACCATGGTCTAGGCAGAAATGTTCCCCTTTCTCCCCTTAAGGGTTGAATAAATATAAATGTAAATGTAAATATAAAGTTACTCTTTAATGAAGAAATTTAAGTGGTTGTAAATAACATTAGCAAGGGATTAAAAGATTTTCCCAATGGGAAAATCAAGCAACTATATAATGGATTTGTATATCTAGAAATCTGAAAGAGCAAAGCAGAGTATAATAAATTCCTAGATATACTTTATAAGCTGTATTCCATTTAACAATGTTTGTAAATGATCTATCTAATCAAGTCTAAAGGTAAAGAGATGACTGGCATTACCCTGGTCACTGGTTTCCAATCTCAAGGTGGTAAGTATCCAATGGCTTTTGAAACGGATGTGAAAAAAAATAAAGAGATGGAGAAAAGTGTTTATCCTATTTCAGTATTGAAAAGCCTCGAAAAGTTAAGAGGCCCTTGGCTTCTCTTGTGTGTGGTTTACCACTTATTAACATACTTGACTTTTTGTTGGCATCAATACAAATTCCGTAGGGAAAAGACTAACATGTTTGAAGACGAAGTGTATAGATCCTCTGTGGATTTCATTTTTCTGGTCTATTCATGGCTCCATTAGCATGAATAGTTAAGAAACTCCTATATCAAAATAAAATATTAATTATACTTCACAATATATAAAGCCACTGGCTAAACAGTGCTGTTTCTGTGATAACCTGAATTTTATCATTAAAACTCTTATAACTAAAGTCACATCCTTTACATAATATTTATTCTGTATAGGATTTATCCACATACAATGACGTCAACTTTAAGACAATTGACTATTATTTGTAAAAGGCATCTTATAAAATCGAGTAATACACAACACACCTCAGTGAATTAAGCTGATATTCTAGGATTCAGAAAATCCGATCATTCTAGTTCCTATTTTTGCCATTGTTTCACTGGGTTGTCTTAGGGAGGTTGCTTTACTGTTCTGTGCCTCAATTTCTTTACCTTTCATGTGAGAGAACTGTCCTATTTCATACATATGTAAAGAATAACATAAAAATTATTAAATACTTTGTAAATATAAAATGCTATATAAATGATAAATAGTAATACTGATCCACTCTAATATAAAATAACATAGAACTTTCCATGTATAATCTAAAGTTTGGTCCTCCAGTACCTATTATTATCAGCCTTCCCAGTTAAATAATCTTACACTATGTCACTTTTAGTGATTTTCCACAGTATTAAATTTCCATGGTATTAATTAATTTAGGATATATATGTATATATAGGATATATATGTATATATAGGATATATATATATATATATATATATCCAATATGAGTGGAAGTTTCGATATATCTTAGCATGACTTAGCAAAATAACTTTAATGAATTCAGTCTGAGCTCTTAAGTAACTGACACACCAAACTTTCTTCATCCATTAAGCAATGACTTGGTGGCATAAAAGCAGTAACGGTGCTTGTTTTGATTTCATTAGTCAAAAATACAATGTTGAAAAATTTGTTCTTCAAAAGACATGCTAACTATAGAAGGAATATTGTACAGATGAAGGCTGTGATCTGCTGCTCTAGGAGACCCTGTGATTACCAGTTTATCAGCACGGTGAGTAACAGAGGTAATGAAGTAAGACCGCAATGCTCAAAGGGAATTCAAAAAGTTCCCTGGTTCCAAGGTTTTCAGTACCGCACTCCTGAGCTCTGCAGAGCTGTCTGGTGAAAGGCTCACAGAGGGCTTTAACAAGAGCAGCTCTGATTTTAGGGTTTCGCCCACCTTAAATGGTGGGCTTCTCTCTGAAACAATTCATTTGAAGAAAGGGTTTCTTGGGTTAAAAAAAAAATCTTTTAAACCACCGATCTAGTCCATTTTGCCTCCTCCAGCCACTAGGCACGACTGCGGTATTGCTTTATTTTGCAACACTTCTTCCCATCGCCACACACTCTTGAGGACCACACAGTTAGAAAGGCATTCACCAGCTGATAAACAGCATTACTGTAAGAGCAAACTTTGTTCTAACCAACTCCCGCTATTTTGCTAATATTAAAAAAAGAAAAAACCCTTGGCATAAATTAAGCTTACATTAAGAGATTACACCCCTATGTAACATTTCCCCACATTTAAAAGCCAAAGACTTTTGTTTTCTCAGAAACCATTACTGGACAGTCTCACTCTGGGAAAGAACTGGTCTTTAAAGTCTTCGATACATATGCTATGATAACTGCAGTTATTATTTACAACTTACAAACATGTCACAAATTTTTTTCTTTTAGGATACTAAAATGGTAGGATAGATGAGCTGTCTAGTTTGATGAGCCTGATGGCTGTTTTGTGGGGATAGCTTGTTGCTTGTTATAAACAATGAGAAAGCATTATTTCAGACAAGGTGCTGGTGGCACCGTGTCCAGTGGACTTTGCTGACATTCATGCTGATGTTCGCATGCAGAAGAGAACAGCATAAAAGAACATTTAGATCACAGACTAAAGTGCATTAGAGCATACACATGCAAGCACTAATCATCCTCATGAATAAAGCTCCCATCACTCATTTTTCCTCTTGGCTCCAAGGACTAAAAAATCAGATAATAATTTTAAAAGATGCTACCATCTGGTGAGACTAGAGAATGACAAGTGTTCCCTCACTCATTTGGATATAACTTCATTGTTAAGACTCCTGATTCAGGAACAGTCATGTTGGGAGCACAATGAACTCAGTGCATACCATCCAGTCTTGAAGCGAATGGAAATTTACCGTCAGGGGAATCTTGAAAAAAGTCTCAGCATTAAGTACCATAAAACAAAAACAAATGGTTAGTCATCTATTTATAAAAAATGTCTTAGAAATTAACCATTTTAGCCCTCAACTTGTATCAAAGGACAATCACTAATGAAAGAATGAGAGAAAGAATAAAATGAAAAGGGTCATATTGACATATGTTATGACATTTAGAAATATAGTATAATTTGATAGAGAGCCTCTCTCAATCAAAATTAAATCAGATCAAGCTTAATTGTAATAACTTGCAGTGACCTTTAGTAAGGTCAGGTTTTTTTGGCATTTAGATTTTATCTTCAGAACTAAAATAATGCTTCTCCAATTTAACTGTACGTTTAGAATGTTTCCTAATTCATACAGGGGAGGAGTTGAAACTCACCTTTGTTTCCTTGGGGAAAAGTTTGTTTTGAAAAATTACATAAACAAGATAAGTAAAAATGCTTAAAGCATCTAAGAGAAGAATTGGTTCAAATAGTGTTATATATAAAATTTACATATAAATAACTTGACATTAAAAACATGTCAAAAGACACTGTAGGGACATTACTGAGCACTCTTGGATAACTCTAGTTCAAGTTATTATATGTTGTTAGAGATTATTAAATTCTTTCATGCTTTCTGATAGGCTTCTTTTTCTAATTACTGCAGATTGGTGAGGTTTGACTTTAATTCTCTGCCATTTCCAGAGACAATACAGGGAGAGACAGTTGGAAGAGGGCTGTGTAAAATCAAAACCTGTCCGTCACAAGTCCCAAAGCTTAAACTTTCTGACCTTAATTTCGTCATTTGCAAATCAGAGGCAATTAATATTTACCTTGCTGATTAAGTGAGAAAATGTGTGAGACAGCACTTTAAAAACAATAGAGCAGAAAAATAAATGTTAGAAATCATTCTTAAGAAGTGGTAACCTCCAATTTTCTTGTGTATCGTTTTTTGTTGTTTTTTTCTCCTGTAGAGAGGAAGAGGATTACATTGTCAGATCTTCACAAACTACCTTGACTTTTAGGCAGTATTAGTTCCTGCTTTAGAAAATGAGGTCTGTATGTAATCTCTAGTCTGCCTCTACTTTAGGTTTTTGTTTTTTTAAAACAACACGGACTACGTAAGAGTAATTTTTAACTTCATGACAAAACATTCAAATATGAATTGTTTCAAACATTTTTGATTTGTCTTCTGCCATGATCCTAAAACAATATGTAGCATATTGGGATAATGATAGGTTGTTTTAGATCTGAAATTAATAGAAAGACTTATCAGTTCAGTCAGATTGGGTGCCAGACCCTTAAATGTGCTCTTACCTGGTTCCCTGTGAAAATTCAGTATTCATAGTTTGTGTTTTTGCAACACCTTGAAATTCTCTTACATAAGGTTTGGTTGTGGTAAATTTATTTAAAATATTTTCTTTGAGAAAACTTTGCTAAGTAGATCTTCCAGTATTAAAAGGGGGAAAAAAAAAAGAGGATTAATTGTTCATCCATCATGCCAACTCAAGCTAGGTCTTCCTTTCCGGTGCAGCAACATGTTTTAGGGCAACAAAGTTCAGAATGGATACAATGACCTGTTTGGAAAGCATGCAAGTTATATTAGGTCATTACTTTTAAGTCAGTCTGATAAATTTGTTAACCAGACTCTGACCATGGAAAGAGAGATACAGGAAGTCAATGTAAGTTGCATACACACCACAGCTCTGTGGGGTCACACATCAGCTACCTAATGTTGGGTTTTATTTCCTTTTCTTCTTCTTCTTCACTATCATCAACCTGTTGTATGACCAGATCAGCAGACCCATCCTCTACAATCTCCACGTATGATCTATTCTCATCTTCACTCAAGTGCCATCTGGAATCCTTATCTCCATCTGATGGGGACATAAGATGCTGTTCAGCTTCCAAATCAATGGGGAGGCTGTCTATGCCAACTTCAGCAAGGCACTCGTTACAGAGTCTGTAGCGCCTGGTTCCTTCCTGGACCACTTGCCCTGTTAGATCAGTCACGTGGCGTTTGCATTTTCTGCAGATTAGTTTGCATGCCTGGTGAATCTGTGTAGAGATTTAAATAGCGATAAAAAAAAGATTTTTCAAAAGCGGCATAGTTCAAGATCTCGGTACCAGTGCATAAACTTAAGATGTCCAAAACCAAGCACTAATATTAAAATTAACGTCTAATTATTAGAAAAAGATCACAGGTTTTGATGATAAACTGACGTCACAAATAAATACCAACTTTCTCTAAATGATGGCTATAACATTTTTATGATTAATATCACATGCTTAATAATTTCACATATCCCTTAATCCAACAATATTTTGATATCTAAGGTAACAAGGGACACCTTCCAGAATAATAATAATTGCAAACACTAAATATATCACATGTACTATTCTAATGACTTTATATACCTTAATTTTGGTGAGGGAGAAACCTCTTGTTTTGTGTGTTAATTTATTATTATCAGCTAGAGAAAGAAAAATATATTGTCCCAAATTTAAGTTTATCGAAACATTTTTTTAAAAAAGATTTTATCTTTGGGGCACCTGGGTGGCTCATTTGCTTGAGCATCTAACTCTTGATTTTGGCTCAGGTCATGACCCCAGGTCATGATTTTTGGCTCAGGGTTGTGGGATTGAGCCCCACATCAGGCTCCACACTGAGCATGAAGCCTGCTTAAGATTCTTTCTCTCTCTCTCTCTCATTCTCTTTAAAATAGAATAAAAAATATACAGGGTGCCTGGTGGCTTAGTCAGTTAAATGTCTGACTCTTGATTTTGGCCTAGGTGATGATCTCACAGTTTGGGAGAGATCAAGCCCCAAGTTGGGCTCTGCACTGACAGCACGGAGCCTGCTTGGGATTCTCTCTCCCTTCCTCTCTCTCTGCCCCTCCCCTGCTTGCTCATGCTCTGTCAAAATAAATAAATAAACTTAAAACAATAAAAAAAAAAATAAAACTGGGGCACCTGGG